GCCCTAAGATTGGACCAAAAATACACACACACCCTCGCACACATACACACATTGTCACCACGATGTGGGAAAAACATGTCCKCACACACACAGCTCCACAGCTATAATTATTCTTATTATTATTATAGATCACTGCCACAGCTTAATGTGTTCAGGAAAGAAGAAAAAAGGTGTAGAATTGACGCTCAGCGGCTCACTCCGCCGTACGTCCTGTAACTGCAGGTAAACGAGAACAAGTGTGTGTCACCGGAGCGGATACCTGCAGGCAGTGGGAGCAGGGAGCAGGGAGCAGGGAGCAGGGACCCCCCCCAATGCGTGCGCAGGAGCCCCCGCGTGCGAAACTGAGTCGGGAGTGAGCATGCATGGTTGTAAACAGGATGTGTGTGTGGGGCACAGACCGTAACGTAACACAGAGCTCAGAACTAAGCTGCCATCACAGGTAAGAACAAACCATCAACAATATATTTTTAACTATCATGTCTTGCCCATACTTTATCTACACAAGTGCTCCTTTTGTCWTAACGTTACATGTAAATTATGTTGCACTCTTTCTATAAGTTATAAATAGCTATCAAGCTAACACAACACCATAGCTGCAGACTAGCATTGTGTTATGTTAGATAGTTTGATTTCAGCAACATGACAAGCCTGTATATTAGTATTTTTCAGCTCTTGCTTTGCACAGTGTGACATTTTATCTTTATGCTATGCAGCTAGTTTTTGACAGTCAATCTGCACTTCCAACCAGGATGTCATCTACRAGCTGATGGACAGGGAAGCTGTGTGCTGGAGAATCACACAGGTTACGTGGGAGACACAGCAGAGTGGCTTCAGGTCCTGAGAACCTCAGCAGAGGACATCGGCATCTCAACCCTACCTTCCACACATCAAGGCTGCTGAGTGTGGACTTCAAGGACTGTTTTAAACATCTTCATGGACACTACAGTGGATTTATTTCCTTGAGGCTATTCATTTTTAATACTGTCTTGCCATGTATAAAACATTTTCATGTTTAAATTAATATTTCTATTAGAATTTTGGTAAATATTCTTCAATTAAGTGTTAAATGGTTTTAGTTTTTGGTAACTGCTTATTAGTTAGAACTAAAGCATCACTTTACCATTGAAAATTACTGAATTATCTTTTGATCAATTACAAAACACAAACTTACATTAGGAATCATGATAAATCACTGGGTCAATACTAGACATGCAATGACAAACACTAAAACAAGAACTAACATCTTAAAAATATGCTCTTAAAAACTTTTCTTTTTTAATAGACACTATTATTTTAATGTCTCTTGAAGCAATACATTGAAGGCTCGTTCACTAAAATACCTCGGTTTTCAGTGGCTGTTCAATGCCGGATGTACTTAGATTATAGCTTGGTTTTATTTTGGCTGTAGTGCCACCGGGAGGACCCAGAGGACTCCAGTTTTTTCAGTGATTACCTGTCTAATATCAYTCTGTCAGGTGATAGTGACAAAAAGAATAAATATGTTAAAAATATATTTTTAGAAAAGTTACAGACTGCACCTTTAAGAAATGTTTGCTTGCTAAGAGTTTATTTCAAATAGTATAATTCACAGTTCAATTGGTTTTTGTCTTGTTTATTTATGTTATGATCTTACCCATTATTGACTAGTCTTATCTACTGGCATGTTATCGGTTATCAGTCATTAGAAGGAGAAAGTTATCGGTATCGGTTCTTAAAATTAGTTATCGTGCATCCCTAGTAAAGACAACAACACCATCTCCAAACTGCTTCAAGCCAGTGTGACCACAGTTGGCAATGTAACTAAAAAGTATAAGGTTCAGAGGACAGTAACCAATCTTCCAGGATGTGGATACAGAAATAAAAGCAACCCCAAGTTGAAAAGATGGACGGAAGAAGAGAGACAAGGAAACCATCCAAAATCATACAAGCTGAACACCCAGGTACAGATAAGTTACGTTGTGACACCATCAATCGAATTTTGAATCAAAAAAGACTGGATGGGAGAGACTCAGAAGAAAAAAAAAACAATTTCCACTCCTTTGTTGATTAAAATGAGAGCCTTTTTTTTTTTTAATCACTGACGAACTGCAGTGTGTGATGTAACAGAAGCGAGCCGAGGAGGAGGACGGTCCTACATCCACTCAGTTGCTACCAGGGTTAAAATGCACACTTTGAACCAGCAAATTTATAAAACGTGTGGAAATCGTAAGTCAAACATAACAAAAGAGCCCACAATTTTGTAAGAACCAGATAAACTGAAGCTTCATTGTGCTGCAGCGTTTGTCCTCATTTGTGACGCATCATGGCGGCTGTTTCACCATCAGCTATTAAAAACACACATATGCCAACGGCATGTGATGAGCCACAGAGCAGCAACAGCACACAGAGAGGAGAGCAGGTGGAGAGGAAAGGTGTCACAACAGACAACTATTGTCAGTTCAGATTAAAATCTTAACTGACTTCATTAACACGAATGGTTAGAGGCAGACAGATTTATTCAGCCAATATGTAATAAYTAAAAAWWWAAAATAAAAACGCAATCGGCAATGTCTATGCATCCTCAATTACCAAGTAGAAAAATTAACATGCAGCAACCAGCTCACAGCTCTTTACACCTTTTCTCAGAACTGTTTTGTGAAACTGGTTTCTATCAACGTTTAATGTATTGCAACCAGACAGACCCAGAAACCACATGTTAAGTCCACACATGAGCAGCAGCAATACATTTAGTTACAAAAAAACCTCCTGCAACTCCATGTAAATAAATGAGATATTGTCCTGATAAAAATAAAAAAGAAGAAATACAGCTCAGATATATTTTAGGTGCTTGACATTCAATAGCTCTGACCTTGATTCTGTATGATTAAATGGTCATTTCCCCCTCTAGTATGTTTAGTTTCAATTATTTTTATGGCTTAAATAAAAGTATCATATTACACTGTGACTGACATGGATGACAGCCTGTCAGAGTTGAGTTGGGTAAGTAAACGGGACTTTCAGACCCACTGGCCTAGTGATGGAAACAGCAGTTCCTTTTAGTGTACTAAATCATTASAATCAATTCATTAAAATGATTCATGCAAAAGATTTGTTCGTTGAATCGTTCAGTTCGTTTGTGATATTTATACTATATCAATAACAGCAATAATACTAACAACAAAAAATAATATCAGTAGAGTTACAGAGGGGATAATAATGTGTGTATGTATGTGATTGGTATTATTTAAAATGTATTTTAAATCTTCTCAAAACAGACTTATAGGTTACCCTACACACACAGTACAGTACAGTACAGTACAGCGATGATTGAAACGATGGGCGGAACCAATCAGTCCACAGCTAAAAAAAAGTTGATTTTGGGGTAAGTTACTCTTTAAGGTTTCATGTTGGACATGCAGTTCTCCTGAGTGTGACTGTGCCATGTCCTGAACAGTACAGCCATGAACAATGCAGTGTGTGTTTTAGCAAATCTCAACAAAAKATAATTCTGGCTTTGTCACTCACAAAATCTCAAAGAAAAATGGCATAGTCCGAGTGATTGTAGCCATTTTCTCATGGTGGGGTTAGCTTTCARGCTATTAGCATTATTTTCCAAGCTAACGGCTAACTGAGCTACATGTAATCAAACGCACACTCGTCCTCTTATTGAACAGCCAGACAATAATGAGAGGAGAGGAGAGGAGAGGAGACAAAATATAAATCTACTCACTAACTCAAGATTTGCAAATCTACTGAACACAGTAGGTTTAACTCCTGAACGTACTGAGAACTGAACGAATCAGTTCATGAATTGATTCGATTCAGTTCGTTCACCCGACACTACACTGGTCCACAACATGGCAGCGCCCAGAAAACGGACATTTTAGCTTTAATTCTGCAGAACAAGAGTGAAGACACTCCGTGCTAATTTATTTATGTCAACAGGTTTGATCAAAACTGTTATAATAATCATTTCTCAATATAAAATGACCTTCCTGTAAATTTCTGGCACGATCCTGGGATGCTATCCCTTTGATTTGACTCACTGTGCGCGTCCAGCTGTGCCAACATCGTTACCCCCCTCCCGGTCCCGTGCACCCGACCAGAAAGCCCCACCTCACYTGCAGCAAATTCCAGTTTAAGCCTTGACCGTAACCAACATCACACTGCACAACAAGTGCAAACATACAAACCTAATCTGTGCCGTTGAACTTGGGGTTTGAAAACACCATGTAGTGTTTCGTTCTGTGGTTCATGTTCATGTTTCTTTCCCTCTGCAGCATCCAGCTGAAGTTCGGCCTCCTCCTGGCTGCTCATGGCTGTTAGCTTTTGTCCACTAGCATTTTCCTTTAACAGCAAAGAGGATGCTGCTGCTGCCGTGGCAGCTTGGTGTATCAGCTGCTTCACATGAACGATAAGAGCTGACTCCCGTCTGATAACCAGTTTTTAAAAATAATGTGTCTGGTTTTTACGGTACACCGTTAGCAGCTCCGCTTAGCAGTTGGCACTTCAGGCTAAAGGCTGTAGCTGACCATCGATGTCGTTCAACCAATCAGGTGACGTTACTAGATAGGATTAGATCATCAAGTTGAAAACCAAGGGGGTGTACAGATACAGCGGAGCAGTTTGTACCATTAGCAAATTGTTTGTCTGACAAATAGCTATTATATTTTTTATTAATATTTTTAAAATTATAATTTTAAGTGAAATTTATATTAGAATAGAAACATATTAAAAGTATTGGCGTCGGACTCTCTCACTATTTCCCCTCTATTTTTAATCTGATGGTAAAATCCAGTTTGTTTCGTCGCATCTGATTGGTTGAACGGTATCAATACAGTTAGCCAGGCTGTTGCTAAATACTGCAGCTAATCTTACCGCGGATACAAAATACATACACGTTAATTACAGCATAATTAAATGGCTTTCAAAAGAAAACCCGCTGTTATCATTCACGTGAAACAGCCAGGACATGGAGCCAGCGCGGTGTCGACTGGCTCCTCTCTGCTGTTAAAGGAAAAAGCCGATGTACAAACGCCTACAGCAGCCATGATGTTGAGGGAAAAGCAGCCACAGGATGCTGCAGAGGAGGAGAAACTGGCCTCTTTAAGTGAAAATGTGCGACAGAGGGAACTTCCAGGTGGTGTTTTCTGCTCTAAAGTTCGATACGACATATTAGGTTTGTATATTGACATATTTTTTGTCAAGCATGTGCATGTTTGTCACAGTTTTCATGTGTGGCTGTAGCTTATACTATGGTTGTGTATTGGCAAGAATTTTGTGACATGATGCATATCACAACACACGGCTCACAATATATTGCAATATCGTGATACTGTGAGCAAGGCGGTATTGCCGCTTTTTTTTCTCCAACAGAAACTAGTTTTGGGAAAAACTGAGTATGAGGGGCACACGATAAATTACAAGCATAAATCTGATTAAATACAGTTTATTTTTATGCAGTTAGATGAAGACTGAACAACAATAACCAACAATAATAATACCTAATTTCCCTCTGGGATCAATAAAGTATTTTTGAATTGAATTGAATGAGAACTGCATTTGTATTTCACATTTCCTCTTACAACATTCATCCATTTATCCATTAAGCCTCAGTTATAAATTAATACAGTGCTTTTGAGAATTGATGCCGTATCAGGAAATAAAGTATTATAATATTTCAGTGAATGAATATTTTCTTAAACACCACACAACTTATAGCATCCAACTGCTGATTTAATTAAATTTAGTGTTACTCGGGAAGTTATACTAGCTTTCTGTTTTGTTTCAGAGAATTTTGTAGGGCTGATTTTTTTTCTTCTGAATTCCACATTTTTTAGATGTAATTACATTTAATTTAATCTAGAAAGTGTCCTGATTGGGCAATAAAATTGTAAGTATTAAGTAGGAGAATGAATGAAGTAGGACCCCCATAAACTGATGAGATGTGATGCTTTAAAATGCCCGTAACATCAAAATTTTGTAATAAAAATTAATGCATTTTTACTAGGGTTGTGTATTGGCAAGGCTTTGGCGATACGATACTTATCATGACAGAGGGGTCACGATACGATATATCCCAATATATTGCGATACTGTAAGCAAGGTGATATATTGTGATATATTGCAATTTTTTTTGTCCAAAAATTCTATTAAATAAAAACCTCTTACTGGAAAAAAAATGAAAAACCAAAATTCATTGTCTCAGAAAATTCTAATATTACATAGACATACTTTTGATACATTTAGCTGTGTTCTTCTTTGTATGTATTTTATTTTATTTGTTTCATATTTCTTATTTCATCCATGTTTTCAATTATTAGACTAAATTTTGCCAATAGTTTGAAAATGTATTTTTTACAGCTTTTAGTTTTTAATGTTAATTTACAAAATGGTCACCCAACACTTAACAATAGCCTCTACCTCAAGAGGTAGAGGAGCCAAATAGCTGGCTCACTGCTGCCAACTAGTGGTCAGAGGCTGAACTACAACATAAAATGAACGGCTGGCAGGAAAGTTGACATTTTAAACCTTAATAAAAAAATCGATACAGGGCTTTATAATATTGATACAGTATCGGGAAATGAAATATCGTAATATTTCAGTGTATCGATAATTTCTTACACCCCTAAGTTTTACAAAGATAACATTAATTATAAATTGAAAATAATAATCAATGGTGCTGAGATGAACAGTTAAGATATTTGCAGGTGAAGTAACAGGAAGTGATGTCAAAGGGAAATTAATGCAWGTGATCAGAGTTTTGCTACAATGATCGACAACATAGAATCTAGAGATGAATGTGATGCTGTTGCTTTAGATTATTTTGAGTCATTATCAGAGAGAAGAAAAATAAATTATTATTATTTTATTAATATTATTATTATTTATTGCTACTATCTGCTGGGAGCCAGACAAAATGATCTATTTGAATTTATCTTGGGGAGGTTTTCTGATATTTGATATTTTGACAATTGAGTCATGAACTTGGCAGTTCTGTGATGTTCTATATGTGTGAATATAAATTTACAGCTGTCAATAATGTACACATGTGCCTGTGTTCCCTCAAGATGTTCAGCAAATGGTGCCGATTAAAGAAGAAGCTCCTGAAGAATGGAGGCCTGGTGGAGACTCATTACACATCAAGGAGGAAGAGGAGGAACTCTGGCCCAGACTGGAGAGAGACAAAGATGCTTCTGAAGAATGGAGGCCTGGTGTGGACCCACTCCACATAAAGGAGGAAGGGGAGGAACTCTGGAGCAGTTTGGAGGAAGAGCAGCTCAATGGGAAGAAGGAGACTGATTCCGCCAGCTTTTCACTCGGAGCCTCTCCTCTGAAAAATGATTATAATGAAAAGAAACCTCTGACACAGCTTCAACACCAAATAAAAGAAGAAGATTTTCCATCCTGCAGCTCAGCTCACCAGATAAAAGCTACAACCAGGGGAGAGGACCGCGGAGAAGTCGAAACTAGCAGAAACCCAGATCTCATGATCTCTGAAGACGATTCCAACTCTTTAGAAACTGATGTCAGTGATGATGATGACGAAGAGGACGACACTGTGGACAATCCTGATTATTGGCTGAAACACGTCACAGACTCTGYCGCAGACGCTAAAGGCAGTGATGATGACTGGAAGACAAGTAGGGCATCTGAGTCAGGTGTAAACGCCGGCAACACACCTTTCAGCTCCTCTGAGTGCGATAAACAATTCACCAACTGGTCTTTCTCTGGAKATGAGACAAGTAATTCAAACATGGTGTCTTCAAGCAGTTTTGTTCAAAAGAACGGTTTTAGAGTGAAAAATAATTTAGACTGCCACGGAGAAGTCCAGAAATTGTTTAGTTGTAACAACTGTGATAAAACATTTAGCAGAAAAACAGATCTAAGAACACACACAGAAATCCACACTGGAGAAAAACCCTTTGTTTGTGATATTTGTGGACAAAGATTTACCCGGAAGACGACTTTAGACATACACGCAAGAATCCACACGGGCGAGAAACCCTTCAGTTGTGATTTCTGTGGACAACGTTTTACCCAGAAGTCCACTTTGATCACACACATGAGAATCCACACAGGACAGAAACCATTCGAATGTGTCGTCTGCGGACGGGGCTTGAGCCGGAGGACGCATTTAAACAAACACATGAGAATCCACACAGGACAGAAACCGTTCGAATGTGTCGTCTGCGGACGGGGCTTGAGCCGGAGGACGCATTTAAACAAACACATGAGAATCCACACGGGACAGAAACCTTTCGGGTGTGATGTTTGTGGACAAAGGTTTATCTGCAAGAAGAGTTTAGAGACGCACAGAAGAGTCCACACAGGAGACGAGCCGTTCGTGTGTGAAGTTTGTGGACGAACTTTCACCCAGCAGGGATCTTTGATCACGCACAAGAGAATCCACACGGGGCAGAAGCCGTTTAATTGTGACGTGTGCGGACAAATGTTCAGCCGAAAGACCAATTTAAACACGCACATGAGGATCCATACGGGAGAGAAGCCGTTCGGTTGCGATGTGTGTGAACAACGGTTTAACCAGAAGCCAACTTTAGTCGCACACAAAAGAACCCACACAGGAGAGAAACCGTTCGCTTGCGAGGTGTGTGGACAGTGTTTTAGCCGGAAGACAAATTTAAACACACACATGAGGAGCCACACAGGAGAGAAACTTGCTTGTGACATCTGCGGAGAGACATTTAACCTAAAGGTTCGTTTAAACAGACACATGAGAATCCACACAGGATGGAAAATGATTTGACTATAAATATTACAACTCCGCAAGCCCTACATGAAAGGTGGTGCTGAACTAAAGTTGCAGCTGAAAGGTTTTATTTTGAAATCACTTGTTTATTTTTAAAGGAGAAGCGTGTTTTCCAAACATTATCTTTCTCTATTTTTTTTTCTCAGACAATCTTGAAGGTCCTGACAGTTCATTGTTAATACAGTATAATGTGAATTCAGTTGTCACTAAGTGCAGTATCTACAGTACAGTTCTTTAACATACACATATTTGAATCTGTGTTTCTGCTCTTCTCTTGTGTTCTTGTGGTTGTTGTAGTTTATATTTGATTATTTAAAATACTCTACAGACCTATTTAGATGTCTAGTCMGTACTTTCAGGTTTAATTCTTGAATAAATACAAACTGTAAAGGTAAATGTTGCATGTTCAAAACATTTTCATCCAAAGAATGTAATTATTTTGTGTAAACCATTACATGTACAGAAATATTTGTTTTGTTTTTTTTAGTCAAATGTACTTTTTTGAATATAGGACAATTTTACATATATGTAGTTGTAAAAATATATGATCAAATATAGATGTTAATAAAGGAAATTGAAGTTAAAGACAACAGTGTTTCAAATAATATTTCCATAAAGATGCAGATTTAATTGTATAGCTCATCTTCTTTTGCAATTTGTAATAAATATGTATATTTCAGGAGGAGGTTTGGATTCAGATTTGTAAAGAGGAGCAAAAAATGAACCGTTTCCATAAAGGGAAGTAACCTATAAATCATTGTAAATTTGAATGAGGGGATCATTATTGTGGGTGCAGGCACAGCTATTTAGACTAAGTGTGACGTTCTTGTGCATTTGTCACAATTTTAAATGTAGTGTTGTGTTTTTGGTCATAGTTTTAAGTTAAAACAATATAACATTTTTTTCTCTATTTGGTGTTCATGCTACTCAAAAAACGTTTCTCGGTTGTTGCACAATCCTCTGTATTGCATCTTTAATCTTTAACACATTTGGAATTAGGATCAATGTAATTAGCATATGTTTTTCTCCCTCGTGTCCTTTCACATTTCAGCCAAAAGTTTGTGTTCTTTTCACAATAAAAGCAAAGTTCTTGTCAAGTTATGTCTTTTTCAATTGTCTAAATATAAAGCAATTTTCTTTCCTGATATGGAAACCTTTTCCTGTAGCTCGAAAGGGGAAAAAAGAATAAAAACACAGACTTCATAATCAGAAGATACACAGCAAAAAACAGTTCAGTGTTAAACTTTTGGGTGTTGATTTAACACCCACTAATGTTATTTAACACTTTCCGAGTAAAGTGACACCCATTGTTGGTGTTAATTCACAATGTTGATTTCCTCAGTGTTTTATCAACACTGGACAGCGTTAAATAAGCTCTGCCCACCGTTAAGTGTTTTGTTATATGACACCATGCAGTGTTGAAAGCAGTTTTCTGAAAACCCCGCCCTCTTCCACCTCATGTCAGACCAGTATTTTGTCAGCAAGGAATGCTGAGTAATCTTGTAGAAATGATGTGTTTGCATGTTTATGACGGTTAAAGAAGTTCATGAGAGTAAAAATTAGTTATTCTGGGTAGTTTCCTTGTTCAGTTTGTTCAAGTTTAAGTTTTTGTTATTGGCCATAAACAGACACCATGAGTGAGAGGTACTTCCTGGTGTGTGACGGATGACTCCATTATACTTTTCTACTAACTACTGAGTAGTGCAAAGAGTTTGACTTTACTCCTAAAGTTTTGGTGTACTGACACCTTGTGGTGTCTGTTAACTTTTATAACACCATAATTTCCTTTGGTAATAATACACTGGTGTTACTTTTAACACTATATTTTAACACTAACACCATTTTTATGTTAATGTGACACCCAGAATTGTTGAATAATAAACGCTGGTGGGTGTTAAATTAACAAAAAAAAAATGGTGTTAAAATTTAACACTTTCACAAATGTTATTTGAACACCAGCAAGTGTGGACAAGTACACTTCGCTGCAGCATGCAGAACGGGGCGGTGACAGACCTTTCCGTCGGTCCCATTCCTTATATGGAAATGGGACTATTGCATTCCGAAACTGAAGGGGGCGCTAGTGACACTATTTTCTATCGAACACTTTCAACATTA